TACCAAAACATATAAGTTTGAACGTATGTTGTGTCAGTCAATTCTTAATATCCGTAGCATTGCAAAAAGGATTCGTGCAGGGGGCAGAGAAGTCAAGTCAAAGTTGTATCCTAGAAGCAGGAGTACGAAATAAAATAAACCAGATAAAGCCGTCCCTCAATCCCCACACTATTGTGACATTTTCAGGACACTCTGGTTGCCATCTGTAAATATACGTAAAAGGCACCGAAAACACATGATCAACTCATAGTAACCGTACTCGTCTATTTATAATCCGAAGTATAAGTAATAACGATGAATAATTATATAAGTGTTAATTTATTCTTTGATATGTGTCATGGATTGTTACCACATATGCTTTGAACCTGTTTGGCTAATAAGTTTAATACGCTACAGAGCGTGAAAATGGAACAAACATCAAAGTGAAAAAAGAAAAATAAACGAAAATGAAACCCTCAAAAAACACAAAACAAAACAGCAACAACAAAACCTCCCGCAAAGTTCAATTGGTGGCTCTCACTTTTAAATTGTGAGACTCCAGAATGTGACATCAATATTCTTGATAATTGGAAGCTTTTCTTCTTCATATGACTTCATCTGTTTCCCCCCCTTTTTTATGGGATAGGTAACAAGCAGAAACACGCTCGTGACAGGCATTTTGGGGATTGTGTCTCTCAGAAATTCCTGGAAAGAAAATTGCCTTAAAAGTTTGTAATGTGGGAAAGCAAGGCCCAGCTATTATCATTTTCAATAATAGAAAACAACAAAGGACAAAGCAAGAAAGAAGTTAGCATCATAGAAAGTACAGGGCGACACGCAACAGATGTGTGACGTCGGTGGCCTAGTGGCTACCAGACTGGTAATCGTGAGATTGCGGGGTCGGGGGTTCGAGCCGCGGGCCCGAAGTTGTGTCCTTGGTAAAGGCACTTTACAAGGATTTTCCTCACTTCACCCAGGTGGAAATCACCCGGCCATAGACAGCGAAAGATCTTGTCCGTATGTTTGTGTTTTAGCGCCTATAAATGGCTGCTTGCACTGTATGCTTCCAAGGAAGTTGAGTTTGTTTCAGAGTGCTCTCAGGTCTGCTGGGGTAATAGTATGATTTGCGCTATATAAATGCTATCTATTATTTATGTTTACAGAGGCAAAGTAGTGAGAGACATGCATTGAGATCTTTGTCTGCTTATAGAATATAATGCTAATGTTATGTTCTATGCCTTATGAATGAGTGGTTTTTACTCTGAACTTTTCCTCCCCCGTCGACACAATTTAGGAAAGCCTGAGATGAACAGGATGAAACATTCCAGGGTACTGACCATGATATTCGATACTACGCTATCCCAATGATAGTACATAACAAGATGGGCCACTCAGCCACAAAAGTGTCCGCAGGAAGTATGCTCTTTTCTCTCTCTCTCTCTCTCTCTCTCTCTCTCTCTCTCTCTCTCTCTCTCTCTCTCTCTCTCTCTCTCTCTCTCTCTCTGTCTCCCCTTCTTTCCTCTTCCTCCCTACAACAACAACTAACAGTTGCCCAGGGCTGATTTTCACCCAATAAAAGATATATCCAAAACTCAAATCGACGATAGTGAGCACTGCATTGCGCTCATTCACTCACTATAATATTGAACACCCGTGCATAACTCACACGCGCACTTCTCCGTTCATATTTCCTTTCCCAGGGACATGGCTGTGGATTCGCCTGGCTGGTACGCTTGGCTTAGCCGCCCGTCGCTGCTGACGCTGTCATGGAAGAGGTTAGAGAGTGAGCGCGCGCGTGCGTGGTCTTGGAGGGAAAGAGAGAGAGTATGTGTATGTACGCGCGTGCGTGTGTGAGCGGCTTGTTACAGCGGAGTGAGTGGTCATCGGCACCTCTGGGCCTAAGGACACGGAGCTGTACTGTCCGACTCAACAAGCTGTTTTGGTGACGTAGGGTGAGGCCGTGGTGGCTTGAGACTTATACTACCTTCTGACAGATAAACTCTCGCGCGCTCTGATAACCTGGTGTGCGCTACCAACTGACAGATAATCTGTGGTGCGCCACATACTTACAGGTCAGATAAATATTTGTGCTCTAAATTAACGTGTTGTAAAATTGGATCATCTTTTCTACCTCCTCAAAATCTGGCTTAACTGTACTCTTGTATTTTTTAAATCTACACTACTCTTTGAAAATCTGTTGTATCAAGTAATATATTTATGGCTCCATTGGCCAAAACATTTGTGTGAAAAATAAGGTTTGGCGTAAACTGAATTAATTATATAAAGCCCTTCTCTAGGATACTCGTTTGCACACTTAGATAATCTCTTCATCTGGACAGTGTTTCTTTCTTGGTCCAAAGTGAGTCGACACTCCTTACGAGTAAGAGCATGTGTATCTGTTGTGTGAGCATAATTGCATGAGTTGGGAAGAGGTGCAAGCTGTTGAACTCACAATCATTTTTTTGGGTTGAACTGTGCTCCTTTCTTTCTTACCTGTTGTATTTTGTTCGCTTAAAGAGGCCAACGTAAAAACGCCAGACTGAAAATCGTCCACTAGATGTCTATGGTCATAAATAATTAATCAAAACATATGATTAGTACTTGGGTGCACGTAGAAATAGAATTGGAATTTGGATAGACCGGTGTTTTACATTCTTTCACATAACAAAAATCACCCCTACATTTTTGTTCTTTTTGTTTTTTTTCAAAGTCAATTTATTGCTGACGTAGGTAATTGAATTCTAGATATCAAATTCTGCTTAATTAACTATACACCATAATGTTAACCCTCCTATAAATAAACCTAATATTATTTTAATTGACTATGCAGTGTTGAGATGAGTTTTAAAAGTCTATACGACCCAACAGCATTGGAACAAATGGAATGTGAAAACCAAAACCTGCGCTATGAGGGATTTTCTTGGTTTCCCCATATTTTAAACTGAAAGTGGTGTGTGTAAATTTGTAAGTAGTCTGTCGTATATAACGGGACCTTTCAAAAATCGGTGGCAAGGACACAATCTTTGCCTGTGTTTTCTTCAACTAGGTCTAGCAACAGGTTTAAAAAAAGGTATAAATATATTATGTGTTTTTCGTTCTCGTTTATAAAAAGAAATCACACAGAATGCTTGTTCGGTCCATGTTTCAAACCATTTTGAATTAAATAAAGTTCGTTGAAAAGCGAGTCTTCAAAAGATAACGGCCATCTTAAATACAGGCTATCTTGGTGGGAAGAGAACGATGAATAAAACTTCCTCAGACGCCTCAGGTTAAAGGTATTTCCGATGGGGATTTCAATTAGGGTCAATGACAACGCGCAGTCACGAGGGATTTGATCCGCTCTAACAGCTTACCTCAAGCTGCCCTCTAAACAGTGACCGGATACTAATTTGAGTCCGAAATTATCTCTAATACATCTTGCAAGGTGGCAGACGCTGAAAAAAAAACTAGCACATAAAACACCAACTGACCAACGTACTTAAGATCGTTTGTCTGGCCTTCGAGTTTTAGTCCGTCTGCTTTATTGTTAATTGCTTTTAGGTAGCTTCCGTGCAGAGCGTCTGAAAGACTTGCAGGTGAGAATACCTTTTCACACATAGTCTACTTTCCTTAAAAATGGGGGAAAAATGCCTTAAGATAAGTGGAAACTGCGGGACTAAACACAGACGGTGAAAGTATTTTGATTGAAAAAATATACACATTCTGTAAAAGAAGACGAGAGCATTCTGTGAAGATTACCTGCACTCCCCACGATGGCATGACTTTGTCCCCAGGAAAGAAATTGAGTTCCTTTTCACTTCGGAAAAAAACTTGTTTAGTCTTCTTGTCTAGATACTTTCTAGGGTTGCAGCTATGGAGAAAAAAAAGCAACAGGTACGAGAACAATTTTTGGGACCGGTTCCTTTTAAGAAGGGTCGGAGTGCGGGCGTGGGGCGAAAAAGTTTAGTTTTCCTCTTTCTTGATTTGTTCTTAGGCTGAGAGGTGGGAATGAAGACGGGAAGAGAGTTTTTTCTTTCTTTTTTTTCTCTCTTAGAAAAGTAAATAAGAAAGTTGGAGTGTCGGTTTTTATTGGGGCGGGGGAAAAAAGGGGGGGGGCACAGACAAGCTATACAGAGTACGTTTTGTTTTGTTCATTTTTATCTGAGAAAAGCAAAACATTTTCTGCAAAAAGCGAATAGAAAGCAGCTACTAGTAATTGCCAGCGCTCTATAAATTTTTCTCCCTGACAAAGGAACCACGACAACTAAATAAATGTTAATTATTTATATATATATATATATATATATATATATATATATATATATATATATATATATATATATATATATATATATATATATATATATATATATGTATAGGCTTTATGCGTAGTATAATATAACCTAGACAGAGTCAATAACATGTATTTTGTTGGCCATAAGCACTCAAGCTTCACAACATTCTTTCCCACTGCGGTTAGTCATTCAGGACACTCTGGCAATATCTTAAAAGAATCTTATGAGAGAGTGTAGAGTATAGCTATGTTATTAATCTAATAGGTCATCCGGACACGGGGCATCAAGGCTGAGGTCGAATTGTGTTGTTGTATAGTAGATCGGTTTTAGAACTAAAAAGTGTTAACATAACAAAGTTAGCTTAGCCACGAGTGTTGGATGTGACCCGTAGAAAAGGATCAAATCGAGCGTAGACGTTCACACTCTCAAAGACAGTTTGGTTCTTGGAAATTGGGGGCTTTTCATCCCATACATTTTTTAAAATCTAATGTGGGCGGGGGGGAGGGGGGGGGGGGTTTACGCGTTTATGTCTTTTGGGGGGGGGGGGGGGTGTTTGGTGTGTGTGTGTGTGTGTGTGTGTGTGTGTGTGTGTGTGTGTGTTTGGGTGCTTGAGTTTGAGTGTGTATGTGCCTTTGTGTTTGTGCTGAATATGTGTTGAAAAGGTGTGAGTGAGTGGATGCGTGTTGGGGCGTAGTATGTATGTGAGTGTAAACGCGTGGGCGTTTGTGTCAACTGTGTGTGAGTGTTTGTGTGTGTGTGTGTGTGTGTGTGTATTGGTGCATGTGTGTGTGTGCACGCGTGTTTGTATGTGTATGTGACAGACAGACAAACAGACAGACAGACAGACAGACAGACAGACAGACAGACAGACAGACAGACAGACAAACAGACACTCAGACAGACAGACACAAACACACACGTGCACACACAAATAGACACAAACAGAGAGAGAGAGAGAGAGAGAGAGGCAGACGAAGGAAATGGGAACAGGGAGAAAGAAAAAATAAGGGTGTGGTAGTGTGTGATTGTAGTTATAGATAATTACTTTGTGAACTAAAATGTCTGATTGGAATACAACGACAAGTGCACTGCTTGCTTTTAAAATTTTAGATGTTATGTCCACATCAAATAACTTTGATATTGTACCAAAACCGAATATCTTATTCAGGCCAATGTCCATGTGTATATTTTGTGTATGGTATATATATCTGTTTTGTATAAGCTTGCGTAAATCTCAGCGACTGACATTGTGGCTCACTCTTTGGAAATTATTGTCTCCATTTTGTTTTTATTAAGACAAACACGGTGAAAATATAATATTTAAAAGTGCGCATAACGTTCATGTGATATGCCTCACCTAGAGAATAATGCTCATCGCGGTAGCAGAGAATCTCAGTCAAAGCGCTGTTATTAGATTACTGGACACCGAGGTTTTTAAAAAATAATAATAATATATAGCATTTGTAAAGCACATATCCCCGCTCAACAGCAGGCTCCATGCTCTTTACACTATATACTTGGCGTCAAAAAAACCCAGACACCCTTTTTTAGTGTTTTTTTTTATTGAAAGGCTGGTTTGAACCAGAAACAATCTCTCTATAAGGAAAGTTTGAACATTTTACAAATCAATTACACATAAAACAATTTTTTTTAATGAGCTTTGTTTCCTGAAATTCGATCTTTTAATTGTAAGCCCTAAAATGAAAAGTCACAGTTAATACCGCGTATAACCGCCGTGGGCATTGGCGACTTCTGTGCACCTCTGCCGCATGCTTCGCGCAAGTCTTTGTATGGGATGCTGTGGAATGTTGTTCCATATGTTTGTAAGTGCTGTACATAGCTGATCCAAGGTGACCGGCTGAGGTCTTAGGCGTCGGCGCACTTATGGTTCTCCGTCCCTTCCACTTCCTGGCTGTCTTGGTAGCGATCTCGTAGGTGCAAGACCCGAATGTACCGGTCATGGGCTGGTGTCGTAGCTCTAGGACGACCCGTCCGTGGACCATCCTGCACGGATCCAGACGTCTGCAAACGATTCATTAGTCGATATATCGTGTCTCTTGTCACATTGAAGGTGCTTGCAACATTCGCTACCGGCGTATTGGCCCTCAGCATACCAACTGCCTGATTGCGCTCTTCGAGTTCGTTAAACGCGACATGCTGTATCTTTAGATTTAGATGTTTTGAAATGAAACTTTTAACGTTTTATTCTTGGCTACAGATAAAAGATGTGTTAAACCCATAAAATAAAATTAAAAAACCAAAAACGTTCGAGAAAAATGACAAAACACGGTTTATAACAAAACAAGACTTGAGCTTTATTAACTGGGCACCTGATCATAAATGCAGGCTGATCAGGAGCGTCAAGTGTTCACAATCACGTGTGGAAAAGTTCAGCTAAAAAACACGCAATTAAAATGTGTCTGGTTTTTATTGACGCTAAGTATATTATTACCCCAGCAGACCACCGAACACTCCGAAACATTCTCAGCTTCCCGTGAAGCATACAGTGCAAACAGCTGATTAAGCGCTCAAACACTAACAAACTGACAAGATCTTTCGCTGTCTATAGCCGGGTACCCATTCCCACCTGGGTGAAGTGAGGAAAATTCGTGTAAAGTGCCTTTCCAAAGGACACAACGTCGGGCCCCTGACGGGATTCGAACCCACGACCTTACGGTTGCGAGTCCGAGAGCCTAACCACTAGGCCACCGACGCCTTTTGCGTGCGCTTTTATGTTTGTGTTTTGCCTATTTCATTTTGAATTTGAAGTGTGAGTAGTCTAGTATCATGTGTTCCAG